CTCGGGCGGGCCCATCATCGTCGTGGCGTCGTCGCCTGCTGACCACATCGTGGTCGTCTGGCGCCTCGCGTCGATCATTGAGGCAGTCGTGAACTGAGGGGGCCTTGAGGCGATCGTGCACCGAGGGCCATTTTGAGGTGTCATCACGCCGTCGAGACGCGGAGCTTTCGGCCTGCTGTACCGCAGCAGTCTCGAGAAGGTCTCGGAGCTCGCCACGAACCCGTTGCCCCTCCGTGGTAGAGGGCTCGGGCATCGCTCGGACTAGCATCGCCACTGCCGCGACGTTCTGGCTAGCGCAATTGAAGATTGGGGGTTGCTCACTTCCTTCGTCGTTGTTGATGCGGCGGTGCACGTCGTGGGCCCTCTGTCGGGCCCTTCCGCCATCACCGCGACCTCGCTGCTCCTGCTCGAGTGTGTCTCGGAGCTGCTGCAGCAGGAGTCGGTCTTGGTCGACTTTTGCCTGGAGCTCACGGAGCTGCTCTAGGTCCAGGCGTCGGAGTTCCTCGGGGGCGGCGTTCACATTCCGTGCCGCCCGAAGCTCGACGAGCAGGGGTGTGGCGTCGCCCGCCCCTTGGCGGAGCAGAGAGCGGTTGCCTGCCCCTTCACTCTCATTACTTGCCCCTGGCATTCCGAGCCCGATGTGGAAACACTCTCGAGTGGGATCGTAAGTGCCTTCATCATCAGAGTCGGAGTAGCCAAAGCAGTAGTCGCTTACGGCCAAGAAGCGGCGCATAGCCTCAGGGTCGCAAAGCCTAGAGAAGTCCACTCCGGCCCACGCCTCGTCCTCCTCCAAGGAGTCAGTGTGGGTGTGGGTCAAGGTTGTGGTGGAGAAGTCAAGGGCGAATCGTTGGTGGCGTCCCGAAGGCTCCGCGTGCGTGGAGGCGTAGGCGAAAGCGTAGGTGGCGGCGATGTTGTTCAGCCCGAAGGGATACAGGGATGGTGCCACCGCTGGGGTCCGCTCTGCCTGAGTCGATTCCTCAGGATGTGGCGAGGCAAAGCTTGACGATGGGACGTCGCTGCGCGCTACCGGCGTCTTTTCCCTGCCCAGGCTTAAGCTAGACAGGTCCCCAGCCAGGGACTCTGTACCAACATCCAGGCATGGGATGCCGGCGAAGTGCGGCGCGCCGCCCTGAGCTCGTGCGGTGTCGGGGCAGTCCCGCTCGCGTCGTGCCTGGCGAGCGCGACGAGAGCGGTGGCCCGGGCGCCGCCTGCGCCCAGGCTGCGGATGCGTGACGTCGTCGTTGGCTAGTGGGGCTCTGGGTGCTTGGAGTACCATATCGTACCCATATCCTAGAGACATAAACTCTAGGCTCCCAAACCAGACCACCGTGCCAAGACGTAGTGGGCGTATGGGGTCAGCCATCCAGAACTTGTTGGGACGATCAAGCTAACACGCAGAGGCCCCTACCTGGCGCACCAACTATCGGTGTTTCGGACCGGGGGGTCCTCAACCAACTAGTAAATGTGAACTGCGTGCCCCTAATCCCGGATGGTGATGCAAAGAGACACAAGGTTTATACTGGTTCAGGCAATTGGTGCCCTACGTCCAGTCTGAGAGATCGATCTTGTATTCCTTGCACCGGAGTGCTTGTAGTATGGGGTTACAAACTGGGTGAGAGAGGGAGCTAGTCCTAGGTCTCGGCATGGAACGTTGTGGGCTGCTTGAGACGTTGCTCTTAGGCAGCTTGGGAGAGTGTATGTCTATGTGAGCCTATCTCCGTGAGCTCGTGAGTGCCCCCCTTAAGAACGGCCCCGGTCTCCCCTTTTATAGTTGAAGGAGGGACAGGGGTGATACATGTGTTCGCCATGCGGCGAGCGGAGGTGGCGTGACGGAGTCCTGTAGCTTACTACTGTAGCGGCATGGTCAGTAGAGTGGTCTTGTCCTTGATGTACTGAAGCAACGCGCCGGTCACACCCGATTTCATATGACGTGGGCGCTCCAGTGACAGCTTGACGCAGGGTATGGCCGACGGTGTGCTGGTCGCTATGGGTTGACGGTGAAAAGAGCCGAGGCTTAGTTGGTGCCGAGGCCGAGCCATCGTGGGGGGCTCGGTGGGCGCGAATCCCGAGGCTGCCGAGACCTGGAAGCGGATTGCCGAGGCCTTGGAGGGAGCAGTTGGTCTCATGCACTGATTCCTAGGCTACAGTGACCCGTGCCTGCTTCCCCACGCCGTGCTGCTCCTGGAGCAGGAATTAGGTAGCACAGTGCAGTACGGGCGCCAGGCATGGATGCAGTGCTGAGCACAGTGGCCAGTAACCCCTGTTTTGTCCTGTCTCACGTCCCGTAGGCCACCCTGCTGTACTGCGCCCACGTGCGGCTGACGTCGCGGGAGTGGTTGGACGCGTGACGTTTTGTCAGAGAAGTCGGTCGAGGCGGAGACGACGAGGTTGTTGCCGAGCCGGCCTCGAGCGAGTCGGAGAATCGGTACTTCGTCCGAGGCTTCACTCGCGGGGCCTCGGGCGAATCGGAGAATCGGTAACCCGTCGAGGCCTTGCGGAGCGGGGCCTCGGCACGAGAGGGCCTCGGCGAGGGGGCCTCGGCGAGGCGGAGAGTCGTTGCGACGCGTGCTTCAGGCGAGTCGGAGAATCGGCCGAGACCCTGTGATTGTCCTTTGGCTTTGATATTTACGAGATTTTAAGCAATCTTTTCGGTTCTTGCTTAGGGTACCCCTTTTTATGGTATCCGACAGGTACATAAAGTAGCCAAACCTGAATCAGATCGAAACACTCTTGAATTCAAGTGCCTCTAATCAACATTGCTTCCACCAAGTGCACTACAAGTAAACACAAGAAAAAACACTATTAGCAGCTAAGACTTACCAAAGCAAACTACTCTAGTGCTAATTAATACGGGGAAGAGATCGACATGCCTAATCTGCCACTTGAGCCAAATAAAGCAAACATTTTTGTTTTTTATTTTCATAAATATCTCCCTGAATCGCTATTATGAAAAGCAGAAAAAGAAAAAAAATAAGTCACACTAGAGGGAAAAATCATATATCGATAGTAAATGTAAGATTGAGATGTCAACTAGAACACACGAATCGATATAGCATCAGGTTCGTTAAACAAAAAAATCAAGCACCACTGGTTCTGACATAATTTGGCCAAGCTACCTGTACCTGTGTAGGTGCATATGAAATAATTTGAAAAAAATCACATATAGAATTGCTCGTGTTTAGGAGGAAACAAGGACAAGTAGACAACACTACTTCTGAATAGTGCTGAATGCACATTGTAATGGGGACAACACTAGTTCAAGAAACCAGAAATCTATGGCTCCCTAGGAGCTAGACCTACAGAAACATGATTCAAATTTTTGAGCGAGAGAATTGGTAATCTTGGCACAGAATTGATCCTAGGACTGCAGAAAAAGCAATAATCAATTTGGCAGTCCTTGAAAAAAACGATGCAAACAAAGAAACATTTTGATTTTCTTAAACTCTAATAAGGAGCATCTTGTGTACCAGACCTTGCGATTGCGAGGCACACTGGGAAAATTCCGAGCTAACCGACTGACTCAAACATGTGACCATCAGAGTTGAGAGCAACTGAACTAACTTGGAACAAGCAGCAAAGTCTATTGAGCTAATTAAAACAGGAGAATTTGCTCTCTGACACGCGAGCTCTATACCGGTGAACTCCACACGTCGACGAGCCTTCACTCTTAAGCAACAAGGAGATATTCACTTAAAGCGCATGTTGCAAATATATGTTTTAGGTGTTTCGGAGGCAAGTGTTTTGTATCGGTGTTGCAAAAGTAGATCGGGATGTTGTTTATGTTGCAATGGCTATGCACGTATGTTTCGAGTGTATGTTTCAAATGTTTCATCTGTATCAGACATATGTTGCGAGTGTTTTCATCGGGATGTTACAAAAGTAGATCTAGATGTTGCATTTACGTACATATCGCAAGCGTATGTTTCAAGTATTTCAGGTGTTTCATACACCTGTCTAGACGTTGCATATGTGTTGTAATAGTTTTCAAGTGTTTTTCAGGTGTTTTTGCAAGTGTTTTAGACGCATGTTTCAACTGTTTTATTTGTCTTTTTCTATATGTTGCAACTCTTGTATCTGAGTGTTTCAAAAGTAGATAGGGTGTTGCACATAGGATATGCGTGGAAAGCAGCTGACAGCGCAGACGATGTTCGGGACGGCGTGGGCGACGTCCGGGGCGGCACAAGCCCGTTGCTGGGGCTCTCGCTCGCTCGTTGTGCAGACACCGTCTGGCACTATCGCTCTGGATTAAACGTCCGGCGTTAGCAAATCCCATTAAAAAACAAACTTAATTGAACGAGGCTCGATTTGCATTTTGACGAAAACAGTCGTTACAAATTGAACTGAATCAAGGGCATTGAATTGAAAAACATGATTCCAGATACTCGGTGGCATGCGGGGAAGGAATATCTGCCTGCACGTCACTGTATGCTGACGATGACGTGGCCTTCATGGAACCACATGAGGAAGACTTGACATTGGCCAAGACCATCTCCAGAAATATTCAGAAATGCGCGATGCCTGAATAATAATATCCTGACATCAACCTAGGCCTATTTCAGAACGAGGAACACAGCAAAATGTCAGTAAAGGGCAACATTATTGAGAAAAGCAGAATTCAGCAGTTACATTACAAGTTGCTAAATAGTATAACCGATGCATGCACAGGCACGGACCACTGACTTACTACAAAGAGAACCCCATCTGTTGTAAAATAAAAGGGTTGCGAGGAACTTTGGAACGAAGGACAAGAAAAGATACAAAATTTAATTTGCCGTAATGCTGTAAATGCTTTGATGGACATATTGACCCCTCTTATATCATCTACAAAGTACGTACTAAAGTTCACTCTTTTTAACTAGGAACAGCAGTAACATGTGATACGGAATTACAGATGGAATTGAGTACAGACTAACAACAGCTATGCACCTCCTTGAACCAAAATGTGCCCAACTTCTCATGTCAGGACTGTGACGCTGACGGAGATCACCGCCTCACATTACTCAGTTCTCACCCAGGGTGTACCGGACAAACCTCCGCACCTTGATGTTCTCCCCAAGCGACGCGATCATCTCCTTCACGAGATCCTTCACTGTCTTGCTGTCATCCTTGATATAGGGCTGCTCCAGGAGGGCCATCACTCCGAGCCTCTTTGCTATCCGCCCTTCGACGATCTTCTCCCTGATGTTCTCTGGTTTCGACTGCAGGTCGTCCCTCTGCATCTCAATCTCCTTCTCTTTGCTGATGATGCTCTCTGGGATGTTGTCCACTGAGACATAGTCGACCTGTGGGCATGCCACCACTTGCATTGCAAGGTCATTCACGAGCTCCTTGAACTTCTCGTTGCGAGCCACAAAGTCGGTCTCGGAGTTGACCTCAATCATGCATCCGATGCGGTTGTCGTGGATGTAAGAGCCAATCAGTCCTTCAGCAGCTAGCCGAGAAGATTTCTTGTCTGCAGATGAGAGGCCCTTCTTCCTGAGGAATTCCTGAGCCTTCTGAAGGTCACCATCAGACTCAGCCAGAGCTTTCTTGCAGTCCATCATACCAGCACCGGTTTCATCTCGGAGTTGCTTTACCAATGAAGCTGAAACTGCAACAGCCGGCTTCCTGGAAACATGTGTGTCAAATGTAAGCGGTGTTGTCTCTAAGAGGCATAACAGTATAGTTTTCAGTGAGAAACGCCTAAACACACACCGATGCACATCTTGTGCACACACTCCTAAAAAGAAGCACACAGGAATGAAGAAGCATGAGGAGGGAGATTACTTCTCAGCGGGTTCTGTTGTTTCAGCAGGCTTGTCATCCTTCGGAGGAGCAGATGGCGGCGCCTTCACTGCTGTCTGGGCTGCAACTTCAGCAGCAAAATCTTGGCTTTTCTTCTCCAACCCTTCACCTAGGTTGTATCGGGCAAATCTCTTGACCTTCATATTCTCTCCGGTTGTAGCTATAGTTTGCTTCAGCCACTCACTTATTGTGACCTTGTCATTCTTGATGAATGGCTGTTCAAACAATGCAAATTCTCCAAGCCTCTTCTTTACACGCCCTTCAACGATCTTAGCCCGTATCTGCTCGGGCTTTGACAAAAGGTCCTCCCTCTGCATCTCCAGCTCGGTCTCCTTCTTCACAAACTCCTCAGGGACGTCATCAATAGAGATGTACTGTACTTGAGGGCAGGCAGCAACTTGCATGGCAAGATCATCAACTAACTCTTTGAAGATGTCGCCTCGGGACACAAAGTCAGTCTCACAATTCACTTCAATAAGGACCCCGATTCTGCTGTCATGTATGTAAGAGCCAACTCTTCCCTCAGCTGTTGCTCTGCCGGCCCTCTTGTCAGCAGCCGCCAGCCCTTTCTTTCGTAGGAATTCTTGAGCTTTATCAATGTCACCCGCCGTTTCAGCAAGAGCCTTTTTGCAGTCCATCATGCCTGCTCCAGTTGCCTCACGCAATTGCTTGACAAGGGCAGGAGAAATAGTGGCTGCTCAAGTGCAGAAAAGATGATCAAAATCTTCCTTGTGCTGTCTCAGCAATGGTTTGTCAACAAATTGCAATATGCGGTGAACTTTTGCTAAGGAAAATGCAGCAAAGGAGAATGGAGTAATTATAAGAAATGAAAACTCAAGATGCATCTTAATTGGCACAAATTCAATAGACAAGTTACAGAATTATGTTTCAGGGTTACATTGTCCAATTAACAAAAATTGACAGAAATAAAATTTTGAACCAAGCAATTACTTATTTCAAGAAAAACAGTGGTTGGCCAAGCTATAGGGCTTCATATACCATCACGAAGTCAGTCTTGTCTCCATTTAAAGCATCAGCAGACAAGTAACATGTTTTTTGTCTTATAAAAGTAGTATGAGCAAAACTATGCAGCTGACATGTCACAAGAAACATAAATCATTTTTTTTTTTTTTTTTTGCAAATGTGGAGAAATGATTGATCTACAGAATACATTAGAGGTGAGATGAAAAATAACAACCAGATCAACCCTTTTGGCTACCAGGGGCAGAACTCAAGGATTGGTACCAATGGTGAAACACATGTAACAAAAAATTAAAATAAGAGTAACTGGAAAAAAAACAGTAGCTTGAACAGGTTTCTTGTAATCTATTATAGCACCCCCTATTCTATTCTAATTAGGCAGCGTTGCTTCTTCAAGAGGCTTTTGCAGGTAACGCGTGGCTTATCAGAATATTGCATGTCAAAGCCTTTAGGGGATACCATCACTGACTCACTGATAAAATTACTACAGACCTGTCGTGGTGCTTGTTTGTGCAACTCCCGCAGCAGCAGCAGCTGGTTCTTTCTCCACCTCACTACTTGCAGTTACAAGGACCTCTTCAACTGCTGAAGATTCTTCAGGTTCAGCAGGTTTCTCCACAGTTTCTGAAACTGAAGACACACTAGTGCTATCTGGGACCCCGTTGGAGGACAGTTCAACACTAATTACAGGTGAGCTTTCAGATTCTACAGTTTGGTTCTCAGCAGCATTTGCCACAGAAGTAGAATCCTCGATTCCCACCTGAGAAGAGGCATCAGATACAGGAGCAGGAACATCAGTTGCTACTTCTGACACAGAGCTCAATTCTTCGCTACTTTCCTCAGAAGCTGCTTGTACTTCTGGCACTTTTGTCTTTTCCCTCTGATCCAAGAATGCAGAGATCTCCTTGTTCCTACGGAAAGCTAACTCAAATGCATTGGTCCCTCTGGACCAGTCCCGCTTAAGCTCCATGTTTAGCGTCTTCAGATCGTCTTCATCATCTTCCACCCCTTTCATCGTCAAAGTGACCTGACCTTGTGCTACATTCAGTACTTTAACCCTTATCTGTTTACCAACTTCCATTGCAGATTGTCCAATAAGGGTAAACAATGCTAATGCTTCCTCTTCTCTGGGAAGGAATCCTTCACTCCCATCAGGCAATGTCACAAATGTCCCTGCTCTCGTCGTACTTTTCACAGTGCCGTTCAGAGACTGACCAGGTAAATATTTTGGCTCGACCATCTCCTTGGCTTCCTGCCTTTCCCTTGTTTGCCTTGGAGTTGCGGTGGCACTGCGCCCACCGTTTGCAGCCTTAGGTGTTTCCTTTTTAGGCTTGACGTAGTCATCATCTTCCCTCATCGTCAGAGAGATACGCTTCGTTTCCTTATTTGCATCAAGCAACCTGACTGACACCTCTTGTCCAACAGTGAAGAGGGAAGATATATCTTTCACGAACCCATCACTTACTCTGGAGATATGAACAAGGCCTTCTGTGTATGCTCCAATGTCAACGAAAACTCCAAATGGCTTGATAGACATCACCTTCCCAGTAAAAGATGCGCCAGGCACCAGATCCTCCTCATTCAGCGGAGGCATCTCGCTCTTCCGAATGTTGCGTCCCAACTTGCGAGGAGAAGAAGCTTGTCCAATGCTAGCCTCGGCCTCTTCGCTCGCTTCAACGGCGTCAGGTGCAACCTCAGAGTTTTCATTGGAGATTTCTCCCGAAGGAGACGGATTCTGATCCTCCACCGTGATATCAGTCCCCACGGTCGCTGCGGACAAGGTTCTTGGCCTCTGGGCAGAGGACCAGCTTCTTCTCTTGTAGATACTGATCAGGTGGAACGCTGTCTGTGGCTGCAGCAGTCTCCGAGGCAACGGCGATGCTACTCTCGAATACCTCGCTGTGCCCTGGAATTTTCTAATTTGGATTTCTCGGCTAGTCCTGAAGCTTCCGATGTGAAACAGGCTGATACTGCCAACGGAGCAATGACTCACTGGAGTCATTCTGAATCAAGGGAGTGAGGTGTCCAGAATCTTGGTCCCTTCAGAACCCTGTGGAGCAGAGGCAAGTCGTTAGAGAAAATAATGCAAAGGAGGTCCTTCTTAACACCATCATGTTGTGGGATTGTATAGATAGATAGGCCATTCCACCTACAGCAATTGCCGAAAGCAAGTACCAAATAAAAATTGAAAAATAATTATTGCATGGAACTTTAAGCATAAGGCATCATTGCTTCACTGCACAAGAGTAGCATTTCACGCATAACACGTCGAATAGGTACCAAACAAAAAAAGGCTCTCTTGGTCTATGTTCAGCCTCAGGGAGAAGCGGCTTATATGTTCATACAGGCAAAGCGCAAACTGAATTCAATCTACACCTCACCCCTAGGCCCTAGAAAGTTTGATGACACAGGACTTGCTATGAATGAAAGCAAGCAATTGTGAACGATGAGCATGAACATGGTGTGATATTGGAGCCAAACAGGACTCCCGACGAAATGTACATGGCTACCCAACCAAAGAACAAACAAAACATCTCACACTGCCTACAGAAACGACGCAGCTGCCTGACGGCAGGAAACGAATCCCCATCCTGCCGCGCCGGCGCCACCCCCGCACGGCCGCGGCCCGGCGTCGCCCGTCGCCCAGCCCAGCCTCGTACGGCAGGAACGGAAAGGAAAGGGGGGCGGCGCACCTATTCGTCGCCGTCGCCGGCGAAGCGCAGAGGAAGGAATGCCTCGCCCGCCCCAGTCAGTCGCCGCTACGGCCCTGCGAAGGGAGAGGATTGGCTTATCGCGAGAGCCGTTGGATTTATAGTCTTATCGCGAAGCTGCTCAGGCTCAGAGGCTTCAGTCAGTAGGGAAGGGAACGGAGCGAGCGAGGTAGCTTTCGAGGGGAGGGGAGGGGAGGGGATGTGGTTCTGGGCTTACGGCGCGACTCGTGTCCCAACCCCAGCTTGGTGAAAATTGGAGAAGAAAAAAAAAACTCGGCCTTTTCTTTCTCTGCTCGATGATGATGGAGTTGGACGATGGTAGACTGACTGAGACTCAATAGCTGGTGACTGGTGACTGGTGAGTGATTTTCCTATTGAGAGTTACATTTCCAAAAAAAAAAAGATCAAGAGAGTTACACGAGGTCATAACTACTTTCTTTAACAGCCAGGAATTCCTGGCCTCTCAGGGCTTCGGGCACTGTCGGCATTGTAGCTGATGCGACGTTTTTGTTTTTTATTTTTTCCCTCTTTCCATTTTTTGCTTTTTTCATTTTTTTTTTCTTTCTTTTCTTTTCCGGTTTCGGTTTTCCCTCATCTACGCGCACGCAGTGGAGCGCGCGTATCTTCCTAGTAGAGTATACTCACCACGAGAAAGATAAAACTACGGAAATGCTCTCCGCAGGGTGTCTAGACGCTTACGTTACCGTGGGCGCGATGGTTCGAATGGCCCAACTAGAATGTCCACGTTCATCTCAACTCTATTAGTTCGGCTGTTGTCTTGAGCAGTTTCCAGAAACGTCATTTTCACTCGCCGCATGTTCCCTGTGCTGGCGCGGCGTGCTCCACCGTGGCCGCTGAAAGCGCAATCAAGCCCTAATTGTGGGTTTTGGTGATAATGACCACGCAATTAGAGAACTAATGAGATTTATCGAGATGACAAGCAGAGAATTTATATTCGAGGATGCTACACAAAATGGAGGAGCCCTCAATTATAAATATAGATGGATTCAAACTTAAAGGAGGTTTAGATTCTTTTATATTTTGAATTTGAGTATAGAAAAGGTCGTACTATAAAGGGGACACAATGCTTAAGCTAATATGTGCTACCAAGTGCTTAAACAACCACATGTATCCTCATATTCATAGCCAAGACAGTCAACACTTCACTATTACCCTTGCTGTCTTGCGTGGTGCGGCACTGCCGCACTTGAAGAGAAGCACTGCCGCACTTGAGTCGCGGCATAAGAAAGTTAGCGCCCACGCTGACTTCCCCGGATGGCTCGAGACGTATTAAAAGGTCTCGCCCGACCCCAATGTCGCGGGCTCCGTCTCGCCCGACCTCGAGGCCGCAGGCTCTGTCTCGTCCGACCCCTTGGATGCGGGCTCCGTCTCGCTCGACCCCAAGGACGCGGGTTACATCTCGCCCAAAGTCGCGGGCTCCGTCTCGCCCGACCTCGAGGCCACGGGCTCTGTCTCCCCTGACCCATTGAGTGCGGTGATCGTTGGGGGCTGGAGGTATATATACCTTTCCCTTTCCTCCCCAATGGCTCTTTGTCTCTTCTTCCTTACTTCAGCACGTTCAAAACAGAGTAGGAGCTCTCTCTCCCTCCATTGTAGACCTCAAGCCCCCAAGCAAATTCATTGATTTCTCCATCAATCTCTGAGGGAAAAGGGTCCAAGACTCGATTAGAGAGCAGCTCAATTGATTCTCCAACTCTAAAGAGCACTTAGTTCATGTGTTTGGCCGACGATAGTGTTTGTTACTTTTAGAGCTTGGCTCATAGCCAGCTAGAGCGTCGTTCATGGAGCTTGCCAACTTGTGTGGCAGCCCCGAGAGATTTGTAACCATCTCTTGAAGTTAGTAAACCCACCCCTCATCTCAAGAGTTAAGTCTCTTGATTTGAGAACGAGAAAGCATTGAAAATCCCTAAGCCTTAGGGGCTAACCTCAACAACGTGGAGGTAGGCAAGCCTTGGTGGCGAGTCAAACCACGGAATAAATCATTGTATCACTTGTGCTTGATTTACATTAATTGCATGACATATTGTGGTTGAGGTGATTTCTAGGTTTTCTAATCGATCTACTTGTGTGTGGTATTCCTACCACTTCTAGCTCTTGATCTGTGATTGTCATACCTACAGTAATCTAGGAAATTTCTCTAATCTAAGTTTTCGTTCATGGATTTTGAACTGTGATTCGAAGTTGTCTGCAGGTGCGGCAGTGCTGCTATTCTGGCCCGGTAGTGCCGCAGTTTGGTAGTGCCGTCCTCCAGAACGACAGTGCCGCAGGGTGAATTTGATAAAAGTTTGAGTGTTTGTTTTGACAGCCCTATTCACCCTCCCTCTAGGCCAACCAGAGATCCTACAGTCACGTTGCCACTACACTCTCCACCGCCCTGGCTAGCCGCTATCCCCTCTCTGCACTGCACCAGAACGCTGTCGCCTGCCTTCCACCCTCTCCACCATAGTTTACCGAGTGCTCGCCATTTCACCGCGCTGCCCTCTCACTACTCGCCCTTCCCTAGCGCTAGGGCCGCTCGCCCAGGCACTGCATCCTCCCCCTTGCGCCATTGCGTGGCATTGAGCTTCGAATCGATGAGCCTCCATTCTCCCAAGAAGCAAGAAGATGTTGTGCTGAAGGCGCGTATTGTAAGCGTATGTTTCAAGTATTTCAAAGAAATGTTGCAAATGTTTTAGATGGATGTTGCAAAAGTAAATCAGAATGTTGCATTTATTGCAATGTTTTGTACACGTGTGTTGCAAGCACCTGATCCCGATGTTTCATCTGTTCTTCAAACATATGTTGGAATTATGTGTTATCTAGATATTGTTTATGTTTCACACATATGTTGCAAGTATTTTATCTGGATGTTGCGTATATTTACAATGGGTTTTCAAGTGTTTTTACAAATGTTTCAGATGTATGTTTCAAGTGTTTCATCTATCTTTTTTGTTCAAAGATCAAAAGAGTTCATTGAAATGCTCTTTGTAGGGCGTTCGGACAGCCGGACGCTGCCCGTTACCATGGGCCACGATGGTCTGAATGACCCAACTAGAATGTCCAAACTCTCCTCAACTCTATTCGTTCAGCTATCGTCCTTAGCAGTCTCGAGAAGTCTCATTTTCACTTGTCGCGAGTTCCCCGCGGCAGCGCGACGTGCTCCACCGTGGCCGCGCTGCCACTACACCCTCCACCGGCCCGGCCAACCGCCACCGCCGCCCGCCTTCCACCCTCTCCACTGTAGTTTACCGAGTGCTCGCCATTCCACCGTGCCGCCCTCTCGTCGCTCGCCTTTCCCTAGCATTGGGCTACTCACCCAGGCACTGCATCCGCCTATTCGCTGGCAACCCGTCCCCCCCCCCCCGGCCACTCTGCGGCATCGAGCTCCGCGTCGACGAGTCTCCATTCTCCCAAAAAAGCAAGGAGATGTTGCGCTAAAAGCGCATGTTACAAGCGTATGTTTCAAGTGTTTCAGGTGTTTCAGAGATATGTTGCAGATGTTTCAAATGGATGTTGCAAAAGTAGATCGGGATGTTACTTATGTTGCAATGGTTTGTACACGTATGTTGCAAGAGCATGTTCCCAATGTTTTACCTATTTTCCAAACGTATATTGTAATTGTATGTGTTATATGGGTGTTGCATATGTCTGCACACATATATTGCAAGTGTTTTATCTGGATGTTGCGTATGTTTGCAATTATTTTTAAGTATTTTTAGGTGATTTTACAAGTGTTTCAGACGCATGTTTCAAATGTTTCATCTATCTTTTTTTTTATGTTGCAAATGTTGCATCTGGATGTTTTAAAAGTAGATCGGGTGTTACACATGGGAAGTGGCTGGCGCCGCGGGCCCACTGATGGAGCGCCCGGTCACAAATCCGATGCTACTGGGGCGCGGGCTCCTCTTGCGTGCGGGTACTGTCCGACGCTAGCTCCGGATTGGACGTCCGGGTGCTAGCAAGTCCCATAAAACTAAGGTGAGGAACCTCTACCAAGTTTGGCAACCAAATGTAATCATTGTTTTTCATGAGCCACCCGACGACCCGCTTCGAAAAAAGAAACTGGTTTGACTCGACCTGATGTCGTCTGAAATGAAAAGAGAGAGAGAAAAAATAGAGCAAGGTGGACCTGTCTGAAAATCGAAATTGGAATTGGAAACTAAACGGACTGGTTTTAACATGCTTCTAGCAAGGACACATATTTTTCCTTTTGTCTTTTGGATAACTTGCGAGGGCAAATGTTACTGCAATATTGGAGAGTGGAGACACAAATAGTAACCGCTTTTTCAGAATCCTGCATCTGCTTGTTGAAGGCTCAGTGCGGAAGTTATTATTCATCAAAATTTAACTGCATCAGATGGCAAGGTAAATTGATTTCTTGAAACTGGTGATTCAGACACGAAATGCATGGTTGTAGATAGCACGTTGATTGATCTTAACTAAACAAATCAGAAATATCTCTTCAGATTTGGGAAGAGGTCGTCATCTACTCATCTGAGCATTAATCTGACAGTCGCAACTGACCAAGCGACCAGACTCTCCATAAGAATGAAACCTTGGTTATACACGAAAGATTCTTCAGAGTGTATGCCAAGAGCTGTTGCCTGGGAGATCTTCCATCTACTACTCGCCACGCTTGATGCCCAACAACATAAGAAAGGAGCAACCATCGTGCGTAGAGAGTCGTCACTGTTTGTCAAAAAGAACAATTGATTGCTCCCGAGTCCGAACGTGGATTTGACGCGGAATCTTGCCACGAAACGGCCGAGCTCCTTCCTCTTCAGTTTCTTCATCACACGTCAGTGGAGCTGGGCTGGCAATGGCAAAACTTTTTCTCAATCTTTTCCATTAAAAAATCGTAAAGGTTGAGCGCGCTCGCCGGCGCAGCGACCTTCCTCTCAGGGTCAGGGTCAGGTTCAGGCTTTCAGCTCTCACATCACATCCAATCCAAGCCAAGGCCGCGCTCCACCCCAGCCCGGCGATGGAATCCGCCGCCGTGGCCATCGTGACGGTGCCGTTCCCGGCGCAGGGCCACCTGAACCAGCTGCTGCACCTATCCCTGCTCCTCGCCGCGCGGGGGCTCCCCGTCCACTTCGCCGCGCCGGAGCCGCACCTCAGGGAGGCCCGCACGCGCCTGCACGGCTGGGGCCCCGGCCCCGACGCCGCCCACCCCACGGCGGTGCGCTTCCGCGCGCTGGACGTCCCCGCGCACGAGTCCCCCGCCCCGGACCCGCGCTCCCCGTTCCCGGCGCACATGCAGCCGCTCTTCGAGGCCTACTGCGGCGGCGCGCGGGCCCCGCTGGCCGCGCTCCTGGCGGAGCTCGCCGCGACGCACCGCCGCGTCGTCGTCCTCCACGACCGCATGGCGGCGTTCGCGGCGGCCGAGGCCGCGCGCCTGCCCAACGCCGAGTCCCTCGGTGTGCACTGCCTCGCCGCCTCCTACAACGTCGGGTGGGCGGACCGGGAGCACGCCCTGCTGCGCCGTCACGGCCTCGTCTTCCACCCGCCCGACGCCTGCGCCACCCCGGAGTTCGTCGCGCTCGCCAGGCGGATGGGGCAGGAGCGACGGCGCGCGCCCGGCGCCGGCATGGTCGTCAACACCTGCCGCGCGCTCGAGGGCGACTTCCTCGACGCGCTCCAGGGGATCCCGTCCTCCGACGGCCGCAGGCTGTTCGCCATTGGGCCTCTCAGCCCGGTGCTCCTCCCACTCCCCGGCGCCGGCGCGAGCAGCGGGAGCTTGCGGCGGCACGAGTGCCTGGACTGGCTGGACGCGCAGCCGCCGTCGTCGGTGCTGTACGTCTCGTTCGGCACGACGTCGTCGCTCCGCGCGGAGCAGGTGCGCGAGCTGGCCGCCGCGCTGCGGGACAGCGGGGCGCGGTTCGTGTGGGTGCTGCGTGACGCCGACCGCGCGGACCTGCGCGGAGGGGAGGGGGACGCTGCAGCCGAGACCGTCCGCGCCGCCGCTGCGTCCGAGCTCGGCCCCGACGGCCCTGGAGCCACCGGTGTGGTGGTCACCGGGTGGGCGCCGCAGCTGGAGATCCTGGCGCACGGCGCGACGGCGGCGTTCATGAGTCACTGCGGCTGGAACTCCACCGTGGAGAGCCTCAGCCACGGGAAGCCCATCCTGGCGTGGCCCATGCACAGCGACCAGCCCTGGGACGCCGAGCTCGTGTGCAAGTACCTCCGGGCCGGCGTGCTCGTGCGCCCCTGGGAGCGGCGCCACGACGTGATCCCCGCGGCCGCGATCCGCGACGCCATCGACAGGGTCATGGCCTCCGACGAAGGCGCCGAGATCCGGCGGCGGGCCGCAGCGCTCCGGGAGGCCGTCCGCAGCGCCGTGGCTGAGGGCGGGTCATCCAGGCAGGACCTGGACGAGCTCGTCGCGTACGTGACGAGGTGATCCATGGTCCAGGCGGGTGCTGTCTGCATTAACGATTTGATGCTAGTATTTGTTTAGCACACTCTATTTGAGTGTTACGAGATGAAACCGAAGGTTTTGGCCAGGCTATGATTTTCATTTGGGAGTTGGGACCTGTCAGGTGTCACTTGTGTTGACTCGAAAATCGACCAGCAAATTATGAGCTTGATGCCTGAATGTGGGAGTGGGACTGTCTGTAATAAGAGCACCGATTTGGTGGATGAAAGCAACCTTTTGCCCCCCAATCATTTCTGACAAAAATCTCACCAATTTGACGAAACTTTGGTAGGATATAACGGACTAAAAAGCTAATAAAATAGGAGTATCAGATTTTTCATAGCAGATGAAAATATACGCACTCAGTCTATCTCAAATTATAAATCATTTTATTTATTTTTCTCAAAACATCTTAAATTTGACCAAAATTATGTACATAATTAAAAAAACATGACATCAAATAGGTATATACTATAGAAATATAACAAATAAAGAATATAATAATACTTATTTAGTATTATTTTACTGAGCTGCTAGCGTCCGGATGTTCGATCCAGGTGCGAGCGTCTGCTGCGCCCGTCCGCACGCCTACGCCAGCTTCACGGGGTGGCTCGCGTCGCTCCGTCCTCCGTGCATACGCGTGCCTACACGGGGGCTACATTTCGATCTGCGCCCGCTTCATTTCCCACGCCTGACGCGTGCACGAGACCCAGCAACTGCAAGTACCTATGGTAGGTGAGTCCCACTACAACGTGTGCAATATTAGGAAGAAACATTTGTAACATACGTCTAAAACAGATAAAATATTTGGGACATATACTTAAAACACCATTGCAATATGTCCAACATCCCGATCTACTTTTCAAACATCCAGATGTAACACTTGCAACGTACAAAAGAAGACGGATGAAACACTTGAAAAAACACTTGAAAAATATTTGAAAAGCCATTGCAAAAATATATAACATCCAAATAAAACACTTACAACATATATGTACAACATATGCAACCTCCACATAAACACACTTGCAACATACGTCTGCAAAAACAGATAAACATTGGGATATATGCTTGCAACATACGTGTACAACCATTGCAACATATGCAAACATCTTGATCTACTTTTGTGATATCCGTATAAAACACTTGCAACATACCTCTAAAACATTTGAATTGTATACTTGCAAGATGCATCATATCTCGGTGTGGCCTCCTCCGCCGTCTGCATCGGGGCACCAGCGACGCTGCAGCCATAGCAGGAGGTGAGTCCGGAGGGTTTCCGTGCCAGGGCCCGATGCTTCTCCTTACTCTGATGGCGCTTGTTGACGTCATTGGGTGGGGCGGGCAGCGGAACAGGAGCAACGGGATGGGCACGCAGAACAAGAGCAAGAACAACGGCAGCCGGCGGCGTGGTGCGAGGATGGAAACCACGAAGGATGCGACCGATGCAAATAGGGAAAATATCGCTCTTTCTTTTTCTTTAATAAACTATGTACTCCGTATGCCTGTGGGCTGGTCCAATGGTCCAGCTGGAGCGTCTGGACGGATGGACGGAGATGGACGCCTAAGGTAGAGCATTACCAATTATTTTATTATATAGATTTAGTGAAACTTAAAATATTTCTCAAGAAAGTTAAAATAATTATAGTAATTTGGAACGGAAGGGTTACATGCCTAACTAGAACGTAGCTCCATGATGCCCCCGATCAGGTCGTGCCGGAGCTGGACGTCCGGGTGCGCTCCCAGCTCCCGCCCGTGCTGTCGATCGGTGCAGGCGCCGGCCTGGCGCTCGGCATCTCCTTTCACCACGCCGTCGCCTACATCGTCCACCCCCGCGGCGACGAGATCGCTCATCGCTCGAGCGATTCTCGACAGGGCGGCGCCAAATCTGCCTGTGGTGAGTAGCAGCTAGCTTAAAAAAAAAAACAGAGTAGCAGCTAGCTGGTTAGCTTCGTGTCGTGTCCGGCGAGGCAATGTTGTTTACCACATATGCATGAAAAACGTTGCTGAAGAAAACTGTATTTCAAGAAATGGTTATTACTTTTGGTGGACCGTCTGCTTTTCAAAATATGCGCTTTGATGGATAATTTCGTGCCGGGTGTTTTCCTTTCCTTGTCCTCTCAAATTTTCTTTTCTCTTTTTTTTCCGCACATACGAAAAGTGCCGAATCTGCTCTAGCTTTCCTGTACGAGGTGCATCTCTCCGTCCGTATGTTGTTCGACCCGTCATCCACTTTGTGATCTTAAATTTTGTGACAAGATTAATGCTATGTATATGGGTAAAAAAAGGCTTTTTAGATCACACCATTATAATATTTAAATTTAGAAATACGTCGTTACAATTAGTTTATTTAGAAAACTGCTATTATAATTTTATTTTGCCTTCATCTATGCCATTTTCAACACGTGCAGTGTATATAGGCACACCGTCAGACACGTGTGCTCTCGGACACATCGATTTTTGCTTATAGTTAGCGCTGGTTTACATTGTTTAATTACATTTACTCTTCAGCACACTCGGTCATCGTAGTAGCATCTTGCAGATAAAAAGTGTAGACCGGCTTTATTAGATTTAAATAAATTTTTAAAAATGGGACTTTGAGCAGAATCATCAGCAGATACCCTATCTGCCCAACTCCGTAGCGTGACCAGAGTACCAGACTAGCAGAGGCCTTAGCAAATCAGGAACGCAAACGCCCCAGCCGCAAACAGCAGAACCCTCGGCTCCTCCCGCCGCCGCCGGGGCACGCCGGGATGCCGAAGCCAGTGGCCTCCGTCGCTTCCCTCCTCCCGCAGCTATGGCACCGCCCCTTCCGTCGCGCTCCCATCCTCCCCCGCGCCCGCGGCCTCTCCTCCTCCTCTGCGACCCTCACCGCCCACTCGGCCCCACGCCGCCGCTCCGTACTTCCCCGTTCCACTTCCACTCACCTCGCCGCAGTGTCAACCTCCGCCGCCGCCGTCAAGGCCCCAGCAGCCACACCGTAAGCTCCCCCTCCCCCTTCCTTCTACTATCCCAACAGCTGATATCCCCAAGTGATGCACTGCACCCTGGTGTTGATGTATGCCCTGTGATGCAGGTACCCAGTGTACGATCGGCTTCTGCCGTGCCCCTTGCAGGACGACCCTCCGAGAATCGAGCACCTCGTGGCTCGCGAGGACGAGGTGGCAGCCGATTTCATCTCCAGGTCGCTCGGCCTGCCTCCTCTGTAAGCACACCTCTCCCTCCTGCGCTCTCTTTCTTGAACGCGGACTGAATTGGCTGCCGTAACAGTGAGCCATGCCTAACATTGTGGGTGTGAAGGTATGCTGCAGACCTCATCAAGTTCGGTGCTGTCTACTACGCGCTCGTCGCGCCGCAGCCGCCTCCCTACGCTTCTCCGGAGCATTTTAAAATCTTTCGGGAAGTCACCGAGCCTTCCATCCTGCGCCGGAGGGCGTCCATTAAGGGGAAGACGGTGAGGGAGGCTCAGAAGACGTTTAGGGTGACGGACCCCGACCAGCGCCTCGAGGCCGGCACGTACCTGCGGGTTCATGTGCATCCCAAACGGTTTCCAAGGTAGGATAGGATGGACGCTGTTCTCTCTTATCTGCTGTGGTGAATGACTGGATCAGCTTGTTTGGCTTATGAGTATGTTCCCTTTACTCGATCCTGCCACAGGTGCTATGAAATTGACTGGAAATCCAGAGTAATAGCAGTCGCTGATGAATATGTTGTTCTTGATAAACCTGCTGCAACATCGGTATGCTTCTCTTATCTTCCACTTTCTCATTTGTTGGTGCTCGTGACTTTATGGGCTCTAAATTTCTTTGACCTTACATGTCATAACCCGGAATGTGTGTCTGCAACATTGGACATCCACTTTGTTGAACATATTGTTCATGTCTTTGACTTGATGTCATTTGAATTCCCTATGAATATGATAGTGATTTTAGAGTATTTTCACCATTAGGTTACCTTCGCAGAATAAAATTCACATCCACTAAAATGCGTATGCACTACCAATGCAACATGGGATGAAGCCAGAAGCATGGGGTTATTCATGAAATAAGATTTGTTTTATTAAGTTCTTGTAGGTGGCGAAGTTAGAAATGCCCAGACAGTCACTAGTTTATGGTTGAAGTTTCTGAGTTTAAATGGTAACAACCGGTGAATTTTCAACCTTTAGGTGGGCGGAGCAACTGATAACATCGAGGAATCCTGTGCAGTGTTTACTTCGCGTGCATTAGGATTGGAAACACCATTACTGACGACTCACCAGATTGACAACTGCTCTGAAGGCTGGTTTGTCACTTTACTTGATTATACTCAAATGTGGAAAATAGGTAAGTAATGTCATCCTTTTTCAAAACTTTGCAGTGTGGTACTATCTAAAACGAAAGAGTTTTGCTCAGTTTTCCATGGACTGATAAGGGTATGTTACTACCTGACTGCAGTGCAGTGTGTTTTTGCTCCATGAACCTATCGGCAATGATCCCTACTTTTATTTTGTATTTTGTAACAGGAGAAACAGGTTAAAAAACTTTATCTTGCACTTACTACAGCACCTGTGTCAACAGGAACGATTACCCATTATATGCGTCCAGTTAATCGCGCTCCTAGATTAGTTTCTGAAGGTAATTTTGAACTGAAATTTGTTGCTTCTATATTGTTACTAATTCGGCCAATTTTGTTTCGTCGTTTGATGCTGGCACTGTTGTCCTGACTTCAAGCGTGCATATATCTGGGTCAGGAATATTATTCGTTTTTGGGTGAAACTGTGAACTTATGTGCACACTGACCACCTTTTGTTAAGTTGTGGCCATTACTGAAGATAGTGAAATGTGAATCAACAGTTTATATCTAAAACTCGTCCATTCTCCACCAATCGTCCGTGCGTTGCCTTGTTATTATGTTATTAACCGCTGTGTGGATGTTAATAAACTCTAGAAGATGAGTGCTGCATAAGACATGAATGCTGGAAGAACTCATGGCCTGAATGCTTGCATCAGAAGTTTTAAATAACCTTCTTGTTTTAGTCTATTGGACCTTGGTTGTTACTTACATTCAAATCCTTTATTAGTACATTAATTAATGTTTTCTTTCTTCTTACCTAACCAGACTGTATTGAAAGATGGCATCTCTGTCAAATGGAGGTACTCAACTGTAGAAAGGTACCATGGCCAAGCTCTTCGATCAGGAAAGCTTACAATGTAAATGGTTGTGGGTGGCCACAGCAAGAAGCTGCTTATGAATGTAAAATCAATCTCTTGACAGGGAAAACCCATCAGGTATCATGTGATTTCGGTCAAATATACATCACCAGAGGCTTGATTATTCCCCTTCTATAATAAAAAGGTTTCTGAGCTAATAGCCTGCCAACTTGGAGAACCTTAAAGCCTGTTTGCTCATTTTGTCAACACTGTTTTTAGTTGAATGAGCTATGCATACGCAGTTTTTTTTTGAGGAATCAGGAGGAGCCAGTGGCTCCTACTGCAAATTTATTAAGACAAAATAACAGCAAAGTACAGAGTTACAGAGTTACAGAGATTGGAGAAGCAAGAAGGAAGCTATGCATACGCAGTTGTTTTGTTTTGTGTTTTAATCGTTGCCAGTAATGTGATTGCTTGCTTATAGTACATCACAATAGGATCTAATTTGGAAATCCATTATGTTGCAGATAAGGGCACAGCTTGCTGCTATAGATGCTCCAATTATAGGGGATTCTGCATATATGACTGCAGCAATGGCAGCGATGGCCAACCCAAGCATAAACCCATTCGGTAGAGAGAGGCTTAGTTACAACAGTGAAGAGGAGAAAGAAGCCGCCATTGAAGCATGGATTGCCTCCCACGGCAAGGAACCAAAATCCGTGATTGGCCTGCAAGCGTCGGAGATCTCTTGGGATCACAAAGGCGAGCACCATTCTTACAAGGCTAGGGTTCCGTGGTGGCGGCAGGATTCTGTGGAGTCTGACTTGGTATGAGTAATGGTAGATGGGAGTTCCATATGGACCCTGAAATTCTACCCTCTGAAAGGTCAAAGGTTTTTGCCCTCTGGTGAACCTTGTCTCCCTGTCGAAGAGGAATGTCTGTCCAGATTTATACTACTGTTATTACAGCGATAGCATTTTAGCATGGGATGACTGACAAGCAGCAACAGGAACCTAACAAACAAAAAATGTTTAGACAGAACAGAATTGTCGAAGAGGAACACCCACTGATGTCGGGTATGTTACTGTTCCCTTATTGTTTTTGCAGTTTTGTCGGATTTAGACAGGTGATGTAAATTATGTAAGTGCTTTCGGCATCATGCTCTGTACACTGTACTCGCCTTTTTAGAGGACTGAGATGCTTTTCTACTTTGTTCTGAGTGCTGAGCGAGACTCAGACAATTTGAATATGGTTGGTTGCTGCGCAGAAGTTGTTGGGCCGCCCGAATGGCCAAAACTAAATTTGGGCTTTAGAAATGAAACGAAGCCCAAGTCTGAACTCGGCCAGGAGCCCAGGCCAACATGAACAGATGGAAGGCGGTTCACACGAGCCAACATGGCACAAAGCACTGCTTATGTTTTGCTGTTCGTTCTAGGAAATGCAACATCTTCTGTTTTTATATGGCTGCTTGGTTGTGTGCAAGGCTTATTTTCTACTCAGACACTCGGCAATCAATCTACTCAAATCCTTTTCTTATAACAGAACAAAAATCAATCAGCTGTTCAGAATTGATGTTACAACAAATGCTTTCCACTCAGCCAAACAGAGAAACGCACCCTATATACCCATTCGCCGGAGCCGGGATTCCAAAACTGAAAATAGATCAGAAATCCCAGCAGTCCAAAACTGAAAATAGATCAGGAATCCCAGCAACCCATTCGGCACAGCCGGGATTCCAAAACTGAAAATAGATCAGAAATCCCAGCAAAGGAGCAAAACTTCATCTGCGGCAACGCCTCCATTGTTCAAAAAAGATTGTTCAATTTGCTAAGCCGCGCGGCTTGTTCCTGTCAGCCAGAAGAACATCCTTCCATGCCTCGTACAACACCCAGGTGATGCCGGAATGTGGCATGACCTTCAGGCAGCTTGCCCCCCACCCACGGTAAAGCCCCAGGAAGCCCTCCCCCCGGATCACCTCTGACAAAGCAGCAATCATGTTTGGCGGGCACTTCCCCTGCAGGGCGCCGACCATCAGCCGCTTCCTTGCTACCTCCAGCGGGAAGCTGATTGTGCTTGCAGTGAGACCTGTGGATCCAACGGATGTCAGTCCTGTTTGCTCAGACTCCAAGTAACCATTAGACGGCATGGCCCTGACTTTTTTATCTCGTCGTCAGTTTGAAGACAAAATGTTGAAGCGGTAAGCAACAGGTGACCGACTGAAACTAGATGCAATGAGATGCTGATTCATTTACCTGAAAGAGCCCCGATAAGTAGAAGCTCAGGGCGACTCAAAGATGGCTTCTTATGCAAGCGGCAGTAAGAGGTCTTGATTGTATCATACATAAAAAAGTAGCATGTGGTGTAAGGAATCATGCCAATTAGTGTTGGACAGAGGCCAGCATAGAAACCACCTATACCATCAGTCCGATAGATCCTGCTGAAGGCAAGGTTAATGCTTGGATAAAGCTCTCGATTGATAGTCAAGCGATCCTGTCAGAAAATCAATAATGTGACATTAAGTAAAAATGTAATATGACTTTCACAGTTGATTGTGAGGATGAAGAAATAGCGCTGACTGTCAACAAGGCCTCAATTCAGCAATTACCTTGATAACTTCGAGAGGATGGCACGCCAATGTGGCAGCTATTCCAGCAGCAGCACCGGCAATAGCAACGGGAGATAAGAAGTGAAGTGGAAGCTCGATTTTCATATTACCAAGCTGTATCTTTGGGTATCCGTCCTTTTTCCATTTCTCTTGTGCTTCTGTCATGCTCCTCTTGACACATTCAAATGTTCCAAGTTCAACTGCTTGGGTTGGAATAACACGGAGCATATTGATTGTATTTCCCGCCCAAAGCCCTTGCCACCCACTTTGTTCGATGATCTCCACCAAACTACCAAAAATATGCCTAGATCCTACTCCTACAACCATTCTTGTCCTGAAATTTGTACACAATGGTATATGTGACCATTCCTTCTGCTTTACTCACTAGATAATTATGAAACTATTCAGCCATCAGCATTTGTTGAACTACATGTTTCAACAGCACAGTTGAAATAAGCTTGCATAATTTTTAAAAATAATATATTCTGCTGCGCACAAAACAAAATAATATATTTATACACGTCAAGAAACTCCTCCCTTTTCACTGATACCCCCTTCATCCTGAAATAAGGTACTGAAGCATTCAAATTTGTCCCAAATTATAAAGGATTGTAGGTTAATTAACTCCCCCTCCTCACTTATCCCCAGGCCCCCAATCACATGCTTACCTGCCATTAATGTCTATTGTCAACCCAACCATTAGGCTCAAAGTACGGTAAGCACAATATCTCCCCACGATTAAGGGAGGTTGCATGCGTCATTTGTTTTACCCCATAATCTCAGGATAGAGAGAGTATAGAGTTTTGGTTATATGCAGCAGTAATATAATGAGAAACTGCATGGAAAGAGAGAGAGAGAGAGTTGTTTTCCAAATTCGATGTATTAGGGGACCAATACCAGAAAATCTGTAGCACATCACTAAGGTAGTGCTCTGGAAAAACTAAGTAATCTGTGAATCATCAGTATATGTCATATTCAGAACACGCCATCATGCAAAAGATAAATGTGCTATGGGTAATTATCTGGTTGGTGGGACATCTCATCTCTGAAGTGCATGCAACCTCGAATAAGAAGCAATGAAAACCAAGCGTAAAGTTTCAACGTTCTGCAAACTAGCTGTAGCATTTGCATCTACAGTTGTAATGTGTAAATAAATTAAAATGGACAAGTGCAAAGGTTAAAAGTAGAGATAAAAGTTAGTGACTACCTGAGAGTCTCTAGAGGGGCAAGGATACCCTTTGACATAGCACCAGCTAGTGCCCCACTGGCAAATTCTCTGGCCTCTCTGCTCTCCAAAATAGTCTGTGGTAAATTGGATAAAAGGGAAGCCCTCAAACAATCAGTCAAAAATTCATCACTAGCTTCAAAGTTTAGATTCATATGGCATCTATGAGAATTGAAATTGAAGCAACTTCTCTAGGTAAAGCGTACCTGCAACTGCAAGTGCTTTGGCATTGTATGGTTGTCAATGTACCGAAGATTACAGAGTAAGATGCTTCAAGTTACAAAGTACATTTAATAATTCTTATTATGTTTTTCAATAGTGTAATGAATTAGCAACCACATTATCTAATCCATCATATAAACAAAAAACATTTCAGTATTTATTAAAGACACCATACATTATAGTGTAATGTACATTGAACTATGTGCTTCTGTAGGGGCCCAGAAAATACCACATCCTATAGCCCAAAGGTTGGTTTCACAGTTGCAAAGCGGTGGAAAATTTCTCGCTTGATCAAACACAGTTCGCGTATTAGCACTTTAGCAGCAAAAAGGCTTGCCCTTGTGACAAAACATAGGAATCTGAAACTCTGTGACGAATCATCACATCAAAAACTTGAAACTAAACCACGCGACCAATTGGGGAAAGCACAGTACGTCAGTTTCTATTAGTTCAACCAGCCAAAACCGAAAGCCGCGTCCCTTTCATTGCCCAGACGACATCAAATCAGGTGGAGATTTCCTTACCCTTACGGCCCCTCCGAAGTCCGGTAGCCTGACGCCGATGGCCTCCGCGACCTTGGCGCCGTCGAGGCCGTCGTCCTTAGGCAGCGCCATGACGAGAAGCTCCTTGTAGCCTCCCACTCCTACCTCCGTGACCTTGGCGCCGTCGAGGCAGTCGTCCTTAGACAGCGCCATGACGAGAAGCTCCTTGTAGCCGCCCCTCCTGCCTCCACTCCAGGACCGGAGAAGCCCACCTGACGAAGCTTGCCGCCGCCAGCGGCGGACCCAGAATTTGCTCAAAGAGCAGGGCCTCTACCTAGTAGAGATATAAACTACTCATTATTATGCTCCTATCAGTAGCGACCCGTTAATTTCTACATGAGTACAGCTACAAATGGATCAGACATTAGAGAAATACCAGAATGGAGTGGCAGACTCCAGACTCCAGAGGGATTGAGGCTGAGGGAGGGCGGGATTGAGGGACGGCCGGGCCGCCGGGCTAGAATTGCCTCCTCGGCTGCTCTGCTCCCACCACCGTGCAGCCGTGCCCGTGTGGACGAGTGACGAGGGACGAGCGGAGCCATCGAGCCTCACAACAGACCCTCCACATAGCCCAAAGGCGCACCACACGACCCGGGCTCTGAAGAAAACGAAGTGGAATTCCATTTCTCGTGGTGCAGGTTTTTGGTGATTTATTAAATAGAAATTTCTATTCATTTGTCGGCTCTCTGTCGGCTGTTTATGTTGTGGACTGGCTTGGTTTTTCGGAAAGAAGGTTTTCTCCGCTTTACTGAGAATAAAGCGTTCCATAACATTTAGGTGTTGGATGGCTTACATCTAATTAGGCTTCAGAAAGAACCACTCTCAAGCCAGGCACCAGTAAAACGCAGAGCGTAGTCGTTTTTTTTTTGAGCCAGGCTTGATTTAGCAACGGTGGCCGTTCTTCTCACCTCCTATCTCACCCGCACTCACCCCTGCAAAGTCATCGACGACGAGCTCCGCACCTACTCCAACTCCGGCGGCCTGCATCTGCTCCTCCGGCGTGCTCTAACGTATACCGTCAGAAAAGAAATATGGCCTAACAATCAACAGAGTTCACAAGGATTGAGAGATCAGATTGTTAATTGATCTCCACCAATAGGCCCCCTGGGCCTTGCAGCTCGCTGATCGGGAGCCCAACCCTTCCAACCTTGATGAGCCCGTTATCCTAGGATTTGTCCAACAGAGAAGGTGGGGATCGAGCTGGAAGAGGTTCACTTGGAGCCGCCACACCACCTACTG